GGGGGCACCAAGTGATTCATGAATTTTTATACATCCCTGAATGCCTACTACCTTTGTTGGAAAGAGATTTGCTATCTAAATTGGGGGCACAAGTGACCTTTCCCCTCCCCCACAAAAGACTCACTCTTCGAGTGGGCTCAGTTCAGTTCAGTTCAGTCGCTCACTCATGTCTCACTCTTCGCGACCCCATGAACCGCAGGACGCCAGGCCTCCCTATCCATCACCAACTGCCGGAGTCTACCCAAACCCATGTCCACTGAGTTGGTGATGCCATCCAACCATCTCATCCTCTGTCGCCCCCTTCTCCTGTCCTCAATCTTTCCCAGCATCAGGGTCTTTTCAAATGAGTCAGCTCTTCACATCAGGTGGCCAAAGTATTGGAGTTTCAGCTTCAGCATCAGTCCTTCCAATGAACACCCAGGACTGATCTCCTTTAGGATGGACTGGTTGGATCTCCTTGCAGTCCAAGGGACTCTCAAGAGTCTTCTCCAACACCACAGTTCAAAAGCATCAATTCTTCAGCACTCAGCTTTCCTTATAGTCCAACTCTCACATCCATACATGACCACTGGGAAAACCATAGCCTTGACTGGGCGGACCTTTGTTGGCAAAATAATGTCTCTGCTTTTTAATATGCTATCTAGGTTGGTCATTACTTTTCTTCCACGGAGTAAGCATCTTTTAATTTCATGGGTGCAATCACCATCTGCAGTGATCTTGGAGCCCCCCAAATAAAGTCAACCACTGTTTCCACTGTTTCCCTATTTATTTGCCATGAAGTGATGGGACCAGATGCCATGATCTTAGTTTTCTGAATGTTGAGCTTTAAGCCAACTTTTTCACTCTCCTCTTTCACTTTCATCAAGAGGCTCTTTAGTTCTTCACTTTCTGCCATAAGGGTGGTGTCATCTGCATATCTGAGGTTATGATATTTCTCCCGACCATCTTGACTCCGGCTTATGCTTCCTCCAGCCCAGCGTTTCTCATGATGTACTCTGCATATAAGTTAAATAAGCTCAACCACCTATTTGCTCTCCCTCTCGGTAACCCCTCAAGATGAATGGAGGTTGCAGGATCTCCTGAAGGGAAACTGGATGGGCTCAACAGTTGAGAGAGAGAGAGAGAGAGAGAGAGAGAGAGAGAGAGAGAGAGAGAGAGAGTGTTAACTCGACAATTCCCTGAGGTCTGGGTGGAAGACAATCCCTCCAGGCTTACGAAACAACAAGTTCCACTGGTAATAGAACTCAAACCCTATACAATTACATCAGCACTCGCTTTGCGCCTGCCAGACCTTGCTAAGCCCTTAACTCTCCGTGACTGAAAAGGACAAGGTGGCTATGGGCGTGTTGTCCCAGACCATGCGGACATGGGATAGACCCGAGGCTTAGCTCTCAAATTGGCTGGACAGTGTTGCCACTGGGTGGCCGAGATGCTTTTGGGCAGTTACTGTGGTTGCCTTACTGGTCCAGGAGGCAACCAAGCTGACTTTGGGCCAAGATTTGATTGTGAAAGTCGCACATGAGATCAACACTCTCCTGCGAGGGGACCTACATACATGGCTGTTGACATCCTGGATTACTCAGTACCAGGGACTATTACCCCACGCTACTACCGAGCTTTGTTGGGTCCTGAATCTGGCCACTCTCCTTCCTGTGAGAGAAGGTGGGCACTCAAATGAGTACCAGGAAATCCTAGAAGAAGTTTACGCCAGCAGACCTGACTTGAGAGACCAGCCAAACCTGGACCCAGATTTGGTCCTGTACACCAATGGCCCCAGCCTGGTGAAACGAGGACAATGACTGTCAGGATTCGCAGTGGTCATGGAAGAAACCATCGTTGAGGCTAGCTCTCTGCCATCACACTGGTCCGCTCAACGGGCTGAACTATATGCTCTGATCCAGGCCCTCCAGCTGTCAAATGGTAAGAAGACAAACATTTACACAGACTCCAGGCATGCTTTCGCCACATTACATGTACACGGGGCTCTGTATAAGGAGAGAGGCCTTCTGACAGCTAGTGAAAAAGATACTAAAAATAAGGAAGAAATTCTGACCCTATTAGATGCTGTCTGGGAACCAGAAAGGGTCGCAGTCATACACTGCCGAGGACATCAAAAAAAAGATGCCTCCCAGGCTCGGGGAAACAGACTGGTAGATAAGACCACTAAACAAGCAGCTGAGGGCTTGGGGGCGACAAGTGAAGCCCCTATTAAAGCTCTCGTATTGGCAGAGCTGCCTGAACTAACGCCGGACTCTCCAAAATGTGCTGAAGCCCAAAACCAACTAGCCAAAGCGGAAGGGGCCATCGAGACTGAAAAGGGATGGTGGGATTTGCCAAGTGGCAAATTATTGGTACCGGAGGAGCTGGCACCCACTCTGGTGAGCCATACTCACCAAGCGACCCACCTAGGCCATGATAAACTGGAAGAGCTAATTTGAAAATATTTCTTGGGTCCCCACTTCTCTTCCCTATGCAGGACGGAATCTCAGGGCTGCACTGCCTGATCACAGGTCAATGTTGGCTCTCGGCACAGACAGAAACCTCCAGGGATTCAGGTAAAAGGCATGCTGCCCTTTGAACACCTGGAAGTGGACTTCACTGAAATGAAACCTCACCGACACTACCCTTACCTGCTGGTCATGGTATGTATGTTCTTGGGATGGGTAGAAGCTTTTCCTTCCTGGACTGAAAGAGCATCAGAAGTAGTCCGGTGCCTGCTTAGGGAGATAGTTCCCAGATTTGGATTTCCTACCAGCATTGGATCAGACAATTGCCCGTCTTTTGCAGCTGGTTTAGTACAACAAGTAAGCAAAATGTAAAACATCAAATGGAAACTGTACATTGCATATAGGCCCCAGAGTTCTGGGATGGTGGAATGAACCAACCGGACACATAAAGAGACACTCTCCAAATGGATCAGAGAGACTCACTGCTCTGGGTGGACTTGCTTCTGATGGCTCTACTCAGACTCAGGATGACCCCACAGTCCCATGGCTATTCTCCACATGAAATTGTGTATGGGAGGCCCCCACCCGTAATAAAACAGGTATCAACAAATTTGCCTCGGTAAGGGGAGATGAGATTTCACAGCAGATGGAACAACTGGGTAAGGTAATAAACGAGGTAACTAAGTTTGTACAAGAAAAGGTGCCGTTTCCCCCTTGGGGAACAGATTCATGAATTTGTGCCTGGTTATCAGGGGCGGGTCAAGAAATGGAAACACGCCTCCTTGACCCCACATTGGAACAGTCCATATACTGTTGTTCTAACCACCCCTACTAAGTTGCAGGTATCACTCCCTGGATCCACCACACCAGGGTGAAAAGAGCATACCACGCAGACCTGGAGGACGCCAAGTGTTCTACACAAAAGGACCCCACTGATCCCCATGAAACCAAGATCATCTTAAAAAAGAAGAAGAGATGAAGCTCTACAATCAACTGCTGCTACAAGGACTTGCCAGTATCAGCACAAAGAGGGACCTGTGCTATAATTAAAGTTGAACATTGTGTGTATATTCCTGATTTATCTGGCAATGTATCAGCTGCTTTAGATGACACGAAAACCCAGGTAAAAGCAATGTCAAACGAAAACATTCCTTTCTGGACTTTAGTCCTATCTTGGGTGAAGGGTGATTTGTGGAAAACTATATTTACCATTGCCATAGTTCTGCTTTGTGGACCCTACATTTTATAATGTATTATGAACTTTGTAACCCAAAGGTGGGTGTCACTCTCCCAAATTGGTGGTCAGAAAGCCAGGGTGTAATATATCCCTATGAATGATGCTCATACTATGAATTAAGAGCATCAAGAGGGGGGAATGAAGGAAGAAACAGACAGAACAGGCTCCATCTTAAAAGCAGGACTCCATCTTGGGCTGGACTGCGGACTTTGAGCTATATGCCCAGTATCTGTGGAAATGGCATACCAATTGGAAAACCAGACCCCCCAGAAGGAAGAGCCCCAGAGTTCATACCTAGACTCTCCATCACCTAAAAGGATACCCTAATTATTTGTGTAACCGAATAGAATCATAAATTCTATTATGCTTATTGGGGTATGGCCACAGGCCTATGGATAATTGTGCACTGTTAACTATCTAGGCTTAAAGCATATGAATCATGGGTTAACTCTGATTGTATCTTTCTTTTCCTTTGTTCAGACTAGTTTCAGGGAATTTGGGGAACTGGCTACAACATCAAGACACACTGGTTGATTCCTGCGTTGGAAAGATCCTTTGGAGTAGGAAATGTCAACCCACTCCAATGTTATTGCCTGGAAAATTCCATGGATAGAGGAAACTGGAGGGCTACATACAGTTCATGGGGTTGCAAAGAGTTGAACGGGACTGAGCATCGAGCCACGAACGTGAGCAGAAGAAAGAACAACAGTAAGAAGCAGACAAGTTAGGAGAAGTTGACTCATGCTTGAAAAAGAGTAAAAATAATGAGTTTATTTTGCGTGAAATTCTTATATTCACCATCATGACCATCCATCATCATTAGGATCCGTATCAAGGAGTGACTGCAATTTAAGAAATTGCAAAAGTAGGGAACCACATAACTGGTCACCACGTTAATATCTTTAATTAGAAAGTCTCTTGAGATGGCTTTGAAACTGATTTTTAAAGTAACTTACATTCACAAGCAGGAAAAAAAAAATCGATAATCGTGTGGATTCCTTGAAGACCTTAAAATGGGATCCTAGACAGCACGTTTCGATACAGAGCGGCCATTCCTTTCCTAACCACCGGGTGGCAACCAAGTGCCAACAGCACGTTTCGATACAGAGCGGCCATTCCTTTCCTAACCACCGGGTGGCAACCAAGTGCCAATGTCACTTTCTTGTCTGTCCCTACCCTTTCCTACGCGGGCGCGGCTTCCGGCTCTCCGGGCTTCCGGGCTCCCGAGCGCGCACGTCACAGAGTCTCCGCCGCGCCCGTCTGTCAGCAGTGGTTCAGCTGCCGAACGTTGGCCGGACTCTGAGGGACCTAGCCCCATGTGGAAGCTGGTCCCGGCCGCGGGCCCTGCCCGAGGTAAGGACAAAAGGTGGAAACGCGGGGGCCCGATTTCTCGAGAGCAGCTGCGGCAGGCGAGGGGTTTGCGGGGCGCACTTCCGGTCCGTCGTCGCCTCTTCCGCCGCCTTCCCGCGCTGCCTCCGGTCGCGCGCTGAGAGGTGGCGAGAACGGGTGCGAAGGCTGCGTGAGGGCCTGCGCGGTCTTCCAGGCGGGGGCTGCAGTGCTTGCGAACCGGGCTTTGGCCTGGCGGGTGGGATAGGCGTCGGGCGCTGGGCCGCTCAGTGATCGCTCGGGTCCTTTCAGTCCGGTCGGCCGCCCCACCTGGAGGGCCCGGCTCGAAGCCGGGTTTCGATGATGCGCTCCATTGAGCCTTGGCCGGATACCCAGTTGTGACAGCTCGTGTTTTCAAGCTTTTGAGGAAACGCTCAGAATACATTGACAGAGGCTCCAGGACCTTGGCGAGCACGTCGTTTATTTTTGTTGGGAGCCACGGAGATAACTTGTACAGTTTAAGCTTTGTTTCCAAGCTTTTTTTTTTTAACCTTTTGGTCATCAGAACAACAGAAAGTTTTTTGCTTTTGTTTTTTCCTCTTGCATTTCTAGCAATGGAAGATGGAAATTGCATGTAAATTGGTTGCCTAGAATGTGTAAGCACTTGTTAGTTGGTAGCTAAGCGGGTGTAGCCTGTGATTGGTCTAGCCCTCAGGAAGTTTACATTGTGATTGAAAAAAAAGATCTCTGTAGAAGCTAAATGGACCGGCTGTGTAAGGCCGTATGGAGAGGCCCAAACGAATGGTAAGGAAAATAAAACCTGTAATAATACTGTAAGTAATATTACAAAGACTCAAAGATAAGGCGCTTTGTGGATTTGGAGCATTGCAGAGATAGAACATAAACTGTGATGGACGAGTTTCCAGGAACATTTGTAGCCTGTGGCTGGCTTTTTGAGTTCGCCTAAGAAAAATGCCCCTAGTGCCAATGGGTAGCATTTTTACCTTTCAGAGGATCTTGAACTGTTTTCAGAATGTAATGGAAGCTACGGGGTGCCATCCTTCTAGGGAAAATGTGACTAAAGCAACCACAAAAGTTTTTTGTTGAAAGACTCCACTCTAGGTTAAAAATCTGTTTGACAAAGTATACTCTAAGTCTGGTCAAGGCTTACCTGGACTCTTTTCTACTTGTCTAATTTAACTGCTCTAATTACCCTACCATTCCAGTGGTCCCAGACTAGACTCTGCTAGTCTTCAACATATATGCTGTTCCAGCAAAAATTTGTGATTTACAAAATTTTTTAATAACCCTGTCCCATTGTTCTAAAAGTTACCTTTAACGTAAAAAAAATTTCCAAAATTATGCACTTGAACCTGGTTTGGAGTTTTCTTGCAGTGATCTATATTATTTACTTTTCATGCGATACCATACTTGTTAACTGCTATCACTTTGTGGGATATTTTGCCAACTGGTAGAGAAAGTTCCCCTAATAATTACATTTTTCTTGACAGTTTTTCCCATTATATTTTTCTGACGGAATTTTGAATTTGTTTATCAAGCACCAAACAGTATTTTGATTTTGTTTGGTGATGCATTAAATGTATAAGTTAATTTGGGCAAGCACTGACAATTTTCAAAATTATTTTCTCTTTAGAAAAGTGGTAGAGCATTCTGTTTAGATTTGCCTCCTTCAGTGAAGCTTTAATAGAAAACATGTTTGATTTACATAAAGTTGATTGTTAGCATTTAAGTAGCAAAATAAAAATATTTAAATATTTGCCATACCTGTGTATAATTACATGTTTATGTTTATGTGTATCTGTAAATTTACTTTTTTAAAAAATCTCTTAGAACCATACAGACTTTTGACTGGTGTTGAGTACATCGTTGGAAGAAAAAACTGTGGCATTCTAATTGAAAATGATCAATCGATCAGTCGAAATCATGCTACATTAACCTCTAACTTTTCTGTAACCAACCTGGTAAGTCACTATTTCATTTGCTGACAGTAAGGGAATTGAAGTCACCACAGATTACCTTGGTGTATACGTAAGAGAGAGTTTTGGAGACTTTTCATTTTATAGAACTGTTTTCTTTAAATGTTAGCAAAGTTAAATATGTTTTGGCAGTGGTACTGGTGGTATTTGTTTATTTTGAGATTTGAAGTTTCTATTTCAGTATTGTACTGTTTGCTTTAGTGACTGAGAAACTCAAATGAAGTAGACCATGTGTATATTTACTTGAACATTTATTGAGTGATTTTTGTTGTTGTCATTGTTCAGTTACTAAGTCATGTCTGACTCTTTGCAACTGCATAGACTGCAGCATGCCATCCTCCCCTGTCTTTAACTGCCTCCCAGAGTTTGCTCAAATTCATGTCCATTGACTCAGTGATGCTATCTAACCATATCATCTTCTCCCATCCCCTTCTCCTTTCCTTTCGATCTTTCCCAGCATCAGGGTCTTTTCCAATGAGTTTCTTCACATCAGGTGGCCAAAGTATTGAAGTTTCAGCATCAGTCCTTCCAATGAATATTCAGGATTGATTTCCTTTCAGGTTGACTGGTTTGATTTTGCAGTCCAAGGGACTGACAAGAGTCTTCTCCAGCACCATAATTCAAAAGCATCAATTCTTTGGTGCTTAGCCTTCATTAGGGTCCAACCCTCTCATCCCTACATGACTACTAGAGAAACCAGAGCTTTGATTATGTAGACCTTTGTCGGCAAAGTGATGTCTCTGCTTTGCAATAATACACTGCCTAGTTCTGTCATACCTTTCCTTCCAAGGAGCAAGCATCTTTTAATTTCATGGCTGCAGTCAACATCCACAGTGCTTTTGGAGCCTAAGAAAATAAAATCTGTCACTGCTTCCACTTTTTCTCCGTTTGCCATGAAAGGATGGGTTTGGATGCCTTGATCTTAAGTTTTTTGAATGTTGAGTTCCAATCCAGCTTTTTCACTCTCCTCTTTCACCCTCATCAAGAGGCTCTTTAGTTCCTTTTCACTTTCTGCCATTAGCGTGGTATCATCTACATATCTGAGTTTGTTGGTATTTCTCCTGGCAATCTTGATTCCAGCTTGTGATTCATCCAGCCTGACATTTTGCATGATGTATTCTGCATGGAAGTTAAATAAGCAGGGTGACAGTATACAGCCTTGTACTCCTTTCCCAGTTTTGAACCAGTCAGTTGTTCCGTGTCTGGTTCTAATGTTTGGTTGTTTTTTGAAACACTTTCAGATTTCTCAGGAGATAGGTAAAGTGATCTGGTATTCCCATCTCTTTAAAAGTTTCCACAGTTTGTTGTGATCCACATAGTCAAAGGCTTTAGCATAATCAATGAAACAAAAGTAGATGTTTTCCTGGAATTCCTTTGCTTTCTCTATGATCCAATGAATGTTAGCAGTTTGATCTCTGGTTCCTCTGCCTTTTCTAAACCCAGCTTGTACATCTGGGAAGTTCTTGGTTCTCGTACTGCTGAAGCCTAACTTGAAGGATTTTGACGTTAACCTTACTATTTGAAATGAGCACAATTGCATGTTTGAACATTCTTTGGCATTGCCCTTGTTGGGATTAGAGTGACAGCTGACCTTTTCTAGTCTTGTGGCCACTGCTGAGTTCTGCAGATTTGCTGTCATATTGCGTGTAACACTTTAAAAGCATCATCATTTAGGTTTTTAAATAACTCAGCTGAAATTCCCTCACCTCCACTAGCTTTGTTTGTACTAGTGCTTCCTAAGGCCCACTAGACTTCACATTCCAGGATGTCTGGCTATAAGTGAATGATCACACCACTGTGGTTATCCAGATCATTGAAACCTTTTTTGTATAGTTTTGTGTATTCTTGCCATCTCTTAAAATCTTCTGCTTCTGTTAGGTCCTTAGCATTTCTGCCCTTTATCGTGCTTACCTTTGCATGAAATGTTACTTTGATATCTCCAGTTTTCTTGAAGAGATCTCTAGTCTTCCCATTCTTTTGTTCTCCTCTGTTTCTTTGCGTTGCTCATTTAAGAAGGCCTTACCTCTCCTTGCTGCTTCCTAGAACTCTGCCTACAGTTCGGTGTATCACCCCTTTCTCCCTTGCCTTTCGCTCCTCTTCTTTGCTCAGCTGTTTGTGAGGCCCCTCAGACAGTCGCTTTGCCTTCTTGCATTTCTTTTCTTCGGGATGGTTTTGGTTGCCGCCTCCTGTAGACTGTTGCGAGCTTCTGTCCTTAGTTCTTCAAGCACTCCGTCTACCAGATCTAATCCCTGAATCTGTTCATCTCTTTCACTGTATAATCATAGGTCACACCTGAATGGCCTAGTGGTTCTCCCTACTTTCTTCAATTTAAGCCTGAATTTTGCAGAAAGGAGCTCATGATCTGAGCCACAGTAAACTCCAGGTCTTAATTTTTGCTGACTGTATAGACCTCCATCTTCGGCTGCAAAGAATATGATCAGTCCATTTCTGTATTAACCATCTGGTGATGTCCATGTGTAGGGTCGTCTCTTGTGTTGGAAAAGGGTGCTTGCTATAACCAGTGTGTTCTCTTAGCAAAACTCTGTTAGCCTTTGCCCTGCTTCATTTTGTACTACAAGGCCAAATTTGCCTATTGCCTCAGGTATCTGTGGACTTGCTATTTTGCATTCTACTCCCCTGTGATGAAAAGGACGTCTGTTTTTGGTGTTAGCCCTAGAAGGTCTTGTCGGTCTTCATAAAACCAGTCAGCTTCAGCATCTTTAACATCAGTGGTTGGGGCATAGACTTGGATTACTGTGATGCTGAATGGTTTTCTTGGAAACAAACGGAGGTCATTCTGTCATTTTTGAGATTGCACCCAAGAACTTCATTTCAGACTTTCATTGACTATGATGGCTACTCCGTTTTTCTAAGGGATTCTTGCCCACAGTAGTCGATATATTGGTCATCTGAATTAAATTTGCCCATTCCCGTCCATTTTAGTTCACTTACTCCTAAGATGTCAATGTTCACTCTTGCCATCTCCAGCTTAACCACTTCTACTTTACCATGATTCATGGGCCTAACATTCCAGGGTCCTATGCAATATTGTTCTTTACAGCGTTGGACTTCACTTTCTCCACCAGACACATCCACAACTGAGCATTGTTTCTGCTTTGACCCAGCTGCCTCATTCTTTCTGGGGCTGTTAATAATTGCCCTCCTCTCTTCCCCAGTAGCATATCGAACACCTTCCAACTTAGGGGGCTCATCTTCTCAGTCATCTTTTGCCTTTTTCATGCTGTCCCTGGGTTCTTGTGGCAAGAATACTGGAGTCGTTGCCATTCCTCCCCCTCGGTATGTAAGCACTCACATGTTGAATGCTTACCATGTGTCAGCACTGTGCCAGAGTCAACAGAGCAGTGGATGGACTCGTGACTCCTCCTTTAAAGAGTTCTGTAGCCATATGAACACTCGTATTTGCCGTATATCTTAGGTTTTCAGAAGGAGAATGATTTGCTTTACTATCCCTAGTAAACAGCTGGTATATATGCCCCACAGCTCCTTTGAATGACTGAGTTTGTTTTGGTCTGTTGGTTGATTTAATTATAAAGGTGGACTTATAATAAACCAACCAAAACACATATATAATTAAACCAGCCAAAACAACACATATATATATATCCAAGAGCTGTGCTCATGGTAATGCTGGTGGTAATGATGAAAGAAAAGCCACTATTTTGAGGTAAGATTGTATCAGCAGCAAACATTGAATCTGTTCAGTAATGTTTAGGTTTTGTGTCTGTATTCTTTTAGATTAAAAAAAAAGCATTATTGTTAAAAATCTTAAAGAAAAAATAGAATTGTTACTTCAGGTTAAACACTCTGGCCTTTTCTCATTGGACTGATTTTTTTTCTATGTGATTTTGATTTTGATGATATTTAAAAAAAACAAAAACCTTAGGAATGAAACTGCCATGTTACATATGAAACAGTGTGTACAAAAGCAGATAGTCCTCACATTGAGAGGTCAGGAAAATCTCCACTGACTTAGCAAAAATAAAGAAAATATATGTTCTAAGAGGAATGATTCTGAAATTAAGACAGTTTTCTCTTAATCGCTAGTTGAGTAATCATTCTTCGCATGCAACCAAAACAATAACTGTATTGTGTACTGTGTTGGGATGTTAACCACCCATCACCTATTCCAAAAGTTATCAACCTTTTCTTTTGAAACCTTTGCCCTTGGGAATAGTATTTATGGAGCAGTAAGAGACTTTATTGATTTTTTTTTTTTTTTAGAGTCAAACAAATGAAATTCCTGTACTGACAATAAAAGATAATTCTAAGTATGGTACCTTTGTTAATGAGGAGAAAATGCAGAATGGTGTTTCTCAAATTTTGAAGTCAGGGGATAGAGTTACCTTCGGAGTGTTTGAAAGTAAATTCAGGTAAGAATTTTGAAATTGATATTAAAATGGACAACTTTATTTTGGACCAATCAAATTCTAAAGGAAAAGGATTTTATAAATAATGAATTGGAGCTAGTCTATTTAGATCCTACTTAGCATAGTAGGATGGAGAAGGCAGTGGCACCCCCCTCCAATGTTCTTGCCTGGAGAATCCCAGGGACGGCGGAGCCTGGTGGGCTGCCGTCTGTGGGGTCACACAGAGTCGGACACGACTGAAGCGACTTAGCAGCAGCAGCATAGTAGGATAGTAGTGAATTTTGCCTGGTAGTGAACTTTGCACTGTATGTGGTTAGTGCATTTTGTTAATCATACCTAACTGACGAAAAGTGAATGAGAATTTGAGTGGGCCCTGAGAATCTTGATGGAGCTACTTTTGATTGATTCTGCATAGGTCAAAATGTACTGTTAAGCTTTTGATCATTGGTTTTTTTCTTAATTGCAACTTAAGACTGATAGTTTTCTTGGAACTAAGTTGGAACATGTAGTAATACATAAAAATCAAAGTAACAGTGTGTGATGTGAGCTTGAGTTTACTATACAATAAATTTATCTAACTTATTTTTATTTACAGAGTAGAGTATGAACCTTTGGTTGCATGCTCTTCTTGTTTAGATGTCTCTGGAAAAACTGCTTTAAGTCATGCCATATTGCAACTCGGAGGACTTACTGTAAACAATTGGACAGAGGAATGTACTCACCTTGTCATGGTATCAGTTAAAGTTACCATTAAAGTAAGTTCAGTGCATTGTTATTATGTTAAAGTAAGTTCTGTAAATTTAAGTTTTTTCATTTACCCACTATACAAAAATGTCTTAAAAGTCATTTACTTTAAAATTATCTGAACTGTTGGTTGTAGATATGTATATGCCAAACAACTCCATACCTACCGTATAGGCTAAGAATGGTTTTTCAGAAACATTGTTTATTATCTATCGCAAGCAAAAAGCACATGAAATTATATTTCAAATTTTTATTTAGCATTTAAATGATTTATGTAATCCTTTCACCAAGAAATGTTTTCAGTCTAAAAGTAAAGCATTTAGAGATCAACTGCCCATCTTCAACGTAAGCAGTCTATGTCTTTTCTTCCTCTCGTCTCTGATATATCTCACTGTTTCATGCTCTTTTGTTTAATTTTTATTTGGCTTTAGGCCCTAATCACAAAAACTTTTTTTTATAGTTTAATATTACCTTAATGAATTGTCACAGTCTAGAGATATATAGATATATGCCTTTAGAAGATGCTATTTGTTAAAATAGTGGTATATTTTGGTATGTTTTCAGATTTTGCATCTTCATCAGATTTGGTTAATCCAAAGCTAACTGAAGAATGACTTTGGGAGGTGATTTGTCTCCTTTCAACAGTTTGTCTATAGATAATCTGAGATTGTTTTAGGCTTATATCTATGGTGAAAAGCAACAAATATTTAGATTCCTTTATTAGATGATAAAATCCTTTGCCATATAATTAATTAAATTAGAATATGTGTGTTATAGCTAAATAGGTGTCATAGAGAAAGAAAGGTTTGCTGTTCAGATTGAACCTCATGTTAAACTTGTGTCTTGGTGGGGTTTTCTCTGATCAGAAATTGTTCATCTTTGTAAGTTTATGAAATTGATTTATAAATTCAACAGAGTGATTAGCTTCTTGAGTACTAATTTATGCTAATAAACCCAGATAATAGATTCATAATTCAGAATGTCCATTTATTAATTTACAGTAGAGATACACCTTTATAGTGACCAGAATGTTTACATAAGGCTCCAGCTTAGTCCCCTTAAAGATACCAAGGTCCCTGAGAAATGAAATAGGTAATCACGCCCTTGCTTGGTGAATATAAAGCAAGAGCAAAGTCAGTCAGTTAGGTGGTCTTGAAAGAAAAGGGAAGGTAAACATTCAGTTCAGCTTTTATTTTCTAAAGAGGAACCTGAGGCTTGGAGCAATTAAATCCTTTGCCCAAGATCACATGTATTGGAGCTTACTCAGTCCAGTGTTGAATTGCTCATTACTGCTTCATGCGGGAAGTCAATTATTTCATTCATATTTGAGGTTCATAACTTTCAGATTCCATTCTTGAGAGATGCCCTAAATTGCTTGCTCACATTTAGGTAATTCCCCATGTTTATTAGAAACATACTTAGAAGTTCTTTAGCTGGATTATTTCTTAGAATTATGCTGAATCTTCTTTATTTTCATTGCCAATGGTGATATTTTTTAATCTTTCTCAAACTGTGGATATAACTTATTTGAGGCTTATGGCTTAATTCACTTGTTAGGTGAAGTTTCTTCTCTACTCCACCTGTGTATACCGTTATTCCTTTATTTACTTTCTTAAAAAGACTTTTCCATAATTATTAATATAATCAGTTTGAAAGGCAATTAGGCTGAAAGATCTCTCTCATGTTTATGTCTTGATACTGTCTTCTCTAGGGCAGATGTTACATTTCCTTAATTCTAAGATACATATTTTAATGTTTTTATAATTAGTATACATTTTTAAATTGATTTGTATTTTGTTATATTGTTTGGCTCTGCCTCCAGCAGTTTTTACATCAGTACTGCAATTTGTGACTTTTTTTCACCTTTAGTAGTGATTGTTTATTGATACTTGAATTTGCCTATATGTTATGTTTGTTTGTTATTTCACAGGTCTCACTGCTTTTTTAGCATATAGGCCTTTGTTTTGTGGGGGTCTAACTTATATGAGTTTTAGTTACCACAGTTTATTTTTAATTTTTGCTTTATATTGGAATATAGTTGACTTCACAATGTTGTGTTTCAGGTATACAGCAGAGTGATTCAGTTATACATAGACATATATCTATTGTTTTTCAAATTCTTGTCCCATTTAGGTTACTACAGATTATTGAGCAGCATCCCTTGTGCTATACAGTAGGTTATCTATTTTCAATATAGCACTGTGTTTATGTCAGCTCCAAGCTCCCAGTCTATCCCCCCCATATATTGTAATTGGTAGCTTCTTATAATCAAGCAATTATATAGGGATATGTACTCTAAAACTAAGCCATGACCCAAAACTGACTTCTGTTTTATAGATTGTGTCTCTGTTATAAATTTAAAGTAACGCGAGGAAAACTAGAATTTTAAAAAAGCTAGGGTATGAGTATATGTATTCACATGTTTTCTTCTTTTCAGACAATATGTGCACTCATTTGTGGGCGTCCGATTGTAAAACCAGAATATTTTACTGAATTTCTGAAAGCAATTCAGTCCAAGAAACAACTTCCAAAAATTGAAAGGTATATTGTGTATTTGAAATAACAAAATATGACATGCAAAATATGATTGCACTGGCTTGATATAGGTTAACTACCTCTTTATTGATTGTTTCAGGATATAATGTTGCAGTTCAGCATTATTAACGAAATTTTTTTGTTACTGTGTGCTGAAAGTTTACCAAGCAATTCTTTGTTGATTTTTCTTTATCTTGGTAAAATAGATGTGACATGTGTGCCAATATTTAAAGAAAAATATTGAAGGATAGTAATGACCCCGAGGTAGGACCAGTGGGCACACATGCTGGTGCCGGGCATCACGCACGCAGGGCACCTGGAATTGTGAGGTGCAGCAGCCCTGTTACAGAGCTAAAATCAAGCTTATTACCTTCTATGAAAAATGAGGATAGTACTTGTACTGCTCTATGTTTTAAGTATTTCGTATTATTAGTATTATTTATCTAGTGGTATACACCAAGGCTAAACTTGCTGAATTGTAATAAGTGTTTATTAAATGTAACTGATTGCAATATTTGGAAAGACTCATAATAGCTTTCTTATTTATGTATTTTTGGATGCTATGCTAAATTTGTGAACCACTGGACTAAGATCAATCTACTATATCTATTGCATTAGTCACGACTGAAGTAACATAAACGGTGGTTTAGGAAGAGGATACTTGTAATTTTTCTTTTTAGATTGCATGGTTATAATACTGGACACTATAAAATGGGTGAGTGTTTTTAGTCAACATAAGAACATGCTTAAAATGTATGTCAGTAGCTTATAGTCCAAATGACATAACAGGTTTGAGGAAGTTTAAAAAAATCTAAAATTCTATGCAAATTAAGTATTTTACTACAAATTTAAATTAAGTATTAACTGAGTTCAGTTCAGTTCAGTCGCTCAGTCGTGTCCGAAACTTTGAGACCCCATGGACTGCAGCACACCAGCCTCCCTGTCTACCACCAACTGCCGGAGTTTACTCAAACTCATGCCCATTGAGTTGGTGATGCCATCCAACCATCTCAACCTCTGTCATCCCCTTCTCCTCCTACCTTCGACCTTTCCCAACATCAGAGTCTTTTCTAATGAGTCCATTCTTCGCATCAGTTGGCCAAAGTATTGGAGTTTCAGCTTCAACATCAGTCCTTTCAATGACTATTCAGGACTGATTTCCTTTAGGATGGACAGGTTGGATCTCCTTGCTGTCCAAGGGCTTCTCAAGAATCTTCTCCAACACCACAGTTGGAGTTGTTCTTCAGCCCTCAGCTTTCTGTATAGTCCAACTCTCACATTCATACATGACTACTGGAAAAACCACAGCTTTGAGTAGACAGACCTTAGTTGACGAAGTAATGTCTCTGCTTTTTAATATGCTGTCTAGGTTGGTCATAACTTGAATCCTTCCAAGGAGTAAGTGTCTTTTAATTTCATGGCTGCAGTCACCATCTGCAGTGATTTTGGAGCCCCAAAAAATAAAGTCAGCCACTGTTTCCCCATCTATCTGCCATGAAGTGATGGGACCGGATGCCATGATCTTATTTTTCTGAATGTTGAGCTTTAAGCCAACTTTTTCACTCTCCTCTTTCACTTTCATCAAGAGGCTTTTTAGTTCTTCACTTTCTGCCGTAAGGGTGGTATCACCTGCATATCTGAGGTTATTGATGTTTCTCCCGGCAATCTTGATTCCAGCTGGTGCTTCCTCCAGCCCAGCAATTCTCATGATGTACTCTACATATAACTTAAATAAGTAAAATAAAAGTTTAAAAAGTTAAATAAAAGTTAAAAAAGTTAAATAAGCACGGTGATGGTATATAGCCTTGACTTACTGCATTTTCTATTTTTGGAACCAGTCTGTTGTTCCATGTCCAGTTCTAGCTGTTGCTTTCTCAGCTTCATACAGATTTCTCAAGAGGCAGGTCAGGTGGTCTGGTATTCCCATCTCTAAGAATTTTCCACATTTGTGGTGATCCACACAGTCAGAGGCTTTGGCATAGTCAATAAAGCAGAAGTAGATGTTTTTCTGGAACTCTCTTGCTTTTTCGATGATCCAGTGAATGTTGGCAATTTGATCTCTGGTTCCTCTGCCTTTTCTAAAACCAGCTTGAACATCTGGAAGTTCACATATTGCTGAAGCCTGGCTTGGAGAATTTTGAACATTACTAGCGTGTGAGATGAGTGCAATTGTGTGGTAGTTGAAGCATTATTTGGGATTGCCTTTCTTTGGGATTGGAATGAAAACTGACCTTTTCCAGTCCTGTGGCCAGTGCTGAGTTTTCCATATTTGCTGACATATTGAGTACAGCACTTTCACAACATCATCTTTTAGGATTTGAAGTAGCTCAACTGGAATTTCATCACCTCCGCTAGCTTTGTTCGTAATAATGCTTCCTAAGGCCCACTTGACTTCGCATTCCAGGATGTCTGGCTCTAGGTGAGTGATCACACCATCGTGATTATCTGGGTCGTGAAGATCTTTTTTGTATAGTTCTTCTGTGTATTCTTGCCGCCACTACTTTTTTTTTTTTTTGCCACTTCTTAATATCATCTGCTTCTGTTAGGTCTATACCATTTCTGTCCTTTATTGAGCCCATCTTTGCATGAAATGTTCCCTTGGTATCTCTAATTTTCTTGAAGAGATCTCTAGTCTTTCTTGTTCTATTGTTTTCCTCTTATTTCTTTGCACTGATCACTGAGGAAGGCTTTCTTATCTCTCCTTGCTGTTCTTTGGAACTCTGCATTCAAATGGGTATATCTTTCCTTTTCTTCTTTGCTTTTCACCCCTCTTCTTTTCACAGCTATTTGTAAGGCCTCCTCAGACAGCCATTTTGCCTTTTTGCATTTCTTTTTCTTGGTCATGGTCTTAATCCCTGTCTCCTATACAATGTCACGAACCTCCATCCATAATTCATAAGGCACTCTGTCTATCAGATCTAGTCCCTTAAATCTATTTCTTACTTCCACTGTATAACCATAAGGGATTTGATTTAGGTCATACCTGAATGGTCTAGTGGTTTTCCCCACTTTCTTCAATTTAAGTCTGAATTTGGCAATAAGGAGTTTATGATCTGAGCCATAGTCAGCTCCCAGTCTTTTTTTTTTCCCTGACTGTATAGAGCTTCTCCATCTTTGGCTGCAGAAAATATAATCAGTTCTGATTTCTGTGTTGACCATCTGGTGATGTCCATCTGTGGAGTCTTCTCTTGTGTTGTTGAAAAGGGTGTTTGCTATGACCAGTGTGTTCACTTGGCAAAACTCTATTAGCTTTTGCCCTGCTTTGTTCTGTACTCCCAAGACCAAATTTGCCTGTTGCTCCAGGCATCTCTGGACTTCTAGTTTTGCATTCTAGTCCCCTATAATGAAAAGGACACCTTTTTTGCGTATTAGTTCTAGAAGGTCTTGTAGGTCTTCATAAACTGTTCAACTTCAACTTCTTCAGCATTACTGGTTGGGGCATAGACTTGTATTACCGTGATATTGAATGGTTTGCCTTGGAAACGAACAGAGATCATTCTGTCGTTTTTGAGATTGCATCCAAGTACTGCATCTCGGACTCTCTTGTTGACTATGATGGCTGCTCCATTTCTTCTAAGGGTTTCTTGCCCACAGTAGTACATATAATGGTCATCTGAGTTAAATTCACCCATTCCAGTCCATTTTAGTTCACTGATTCCTAGAATGTCTATGTTCACTATTGCCATCTCCTGTTTGACAACTTTCAATTTGCCTTGATTCATGGACCTAACATTCCAGGTTCCTATGCAATATTGCTCTTTACAGCATGGGACCTTGCTTCTATCACCAGTCACATCCACAACTGGGTGTTGTTTTTTGCTTTGGCCCCGTCTCTTCATTCTTTCTGGAGTTATTTCTCCACTGATCTCCAGTAGCATATTGGGCACCTACCTACCTTGGGAGTTCATCTTTCAGTGTCCTATCTTTTTGTCTTTTCATACAGTTCATGGGGTTCTCAAGGCAAGAATACTGAAGTGATTTGCCATTCCCTTCTACAGTGGACCACATTTTGTCAGAACTCTCCACCATGACCCGTCTGTCTTGGGTGGCCCTACACAGCATGGCTCATGGTTTCACTGAGCTGTGGTCGATGTGATCAGATTGGTTAGTTTTCTGTGATTGTGGTTTACTCATGCTAATTATTTTATTACCAATTTAAAAATATTGTTTTTGTTGCTTAGTCACTCAGTTGTGTCTGACTCTTTGTGACACCATGGACTGCAGCACGCCAGGCCTCCCTGTCCATCACCAACTCCCAGAGCTTACCCAAACTCATGTCCATTGAGTTGGTGATGCCATCCAACCATCTCATCCTCTGTCGCCTGCTTCTACTCCTGCCCTCAATCTTTCCCAGCATCAGGGTCTTTTCCAACGAGTCAGCTCTTCAGACCTGGTGGCCAAAGTATTGGAGCTTCAGTATCAGTGCTTCCAGTGAATAATAAGAATTTTATTTCCTCTAGGACTGACTAGTTCGATCTCCTTGCTCTTCAAGGGACTTTGAAGAGTTTCCCTAGTACCACAGTTCTGGTACTAGATACTTGCAGTTCTGCAGTGCTCAAGTCTTTTTTATGGTCCAACTCTCAAACCTGTACGTGACTACTGGAAAAGTCTTAGCTTTGACTATATGGGCCTTTGCCAACAAAGTGACATCTCTGCTTTTTAACATGCTGTCTAGGTTTGTCACAGTTTTTCCTCCAAGGAGCAAGCATCTTTTGATTTTATGGCTGCGTTCATTGCAGTGATTTTGGAGCCCAAGAAAATAAAATCTGTCATTGCTTCCACTTTTTTTTCATTTGCCGTGCAGTGTTGGGACTAGACTCCATGATCTTCATTTTTTGAATGTTGAATTTTAAGCCAGCTCTTTCACTCTCCTCTTCACTTTCATTAAAAGGCTCTTTAGTTCCCTTTTGCTTTCTACCATTAGGATGGTATCATCTGTTTATCTGAGGCTGTGGATATTTCTCCTAGCAATCTTTATTACAGCTTGTGTTTCATCCCGCCTGGCATTTCATATGATGTATTCTGCATATAAGTTAAATAAGCAGGGTGACAGTATACAGCCTTGTCATACTCATTTTCCTGTTTGGAATCAGTCCGTTGCTCCATGTCCGATTCTAACTGTTGCTTCTTGACCTGCATGTAGTTTCTCAGGAGGCAGGTCAGGTGGTCTGGTATTCCCATCTCTTTAAGAATTTTCCACAATTTGTTGTGATCCACACAGTCAAAAGCTTTAGTGTAATCTCCCTTTCTCCTTTAATATATATATGTGTATATGTATATAAATATATATAAAATACTACTAGCTATTTTAAACTAATTTGCCCAGTGCAGAAATTTTTAGAAACTGTTTATTCCTGATAATATGTATCTGCTTTTAAAAGCAACTGAACATCAGATTTTCTCTTTGTTTTCAGTTTTCACTTGGGAGATTTCATGTATTTTATAATCTGATTAACAGATAATATGCTTTCCTCTAGAACAGAATCATCATATTTTATTTATTTTTCGGCCATACCAAGTGGCTTGCAGGTTTGAACACAGGCGCTCAGCAGTGAAAGCATGGAGTCCTAACCACTGGGCCACCAGAGAATTCCTGAGATTTTAAAATAGATGATTCTTAACCTTTTTTGAGTCCTAGATCCCTGTGAGAACTTGAAAGCTGATCTCTCCTCTAGAAACTTCACTTACTACCAACTTGAAAGTGAAAGTTGCTCAGTCCTATCCGACTCTTTGTGACCCCATAGACATAGTCCATGGAATTTTCCAGGCCAGAATACTGGAGTGGGTAGCTTTTCCCTTCTCCAGGGGATCTTCCCAACCCAGGGATCGAACCCAGGTCTCCCACATTACAGGCAGATTCTAGCAGCTGAGCCATAAGGAAAGCCCAAGAATACTGGAGTGGGTAGCCTATCCCTTCTCCAGAGGATCTTCCTGACCCAGGAATCGATGTGGGGTCTTCTGCATTGCAGGTGAATTCTTTACCAGCTGAACTGTCAGGGAAGCCCAACTTCCTAGTGCCTATTATGAGCCTCCTTAGAAAAGTTGATAAATCCTGTAAATAATGACTCTTGTTACAGCTAATAAACCATTTTAATTCTAGATTACTTAGGAATGGAGGCGTCTGATAAGGTTTTACTACTGGTGATATGTTTTATGGTTTTTGGAGTTTTTAGAATCAGTTATTGATTCTTACTCAGAATCTCAGTGTATTCAACTTGCTTTTTTGTTGTTGTTTTTTTACTTTAGACATAGTTTTTTTCTGACTTCAATTTGTGTGACTGTATTAGCTTAAATAGGTGTAATAAAACATCCCTCCTCTAAGATTGTTCAATAACTCCTAAGTCAGTGTTTACTAGGAAAGACTATTAGTTCATGTTTGATAATCAAGTTTTAATACTATTTTAAAATATATTGATTTTTGCCTTAATAGATTCCTATACCTATTGGGATCCATTTTGATATGTTTGTGGAAGACTGTATACTCAGTTAATTAAATAGAAAAAAGATTAAATTTAAGACATTAAATAGTAGTAAGATGGTTTATAAAAGGATATGAAGTAAACAAAATTGCAAGCAAGCAAACTATAATATTTTTGCCTATAACAGAAAGTGTAGTCCTTTTGTTGCAAGTATGCCTGCTTCTCTGTACTGTTAGCATGAGACAGAGTCTGTCACAGGGAGGATGGAGCACCTGATGTGGTTTGTGATGTCTGGTTTCCTTATACTGTTACAGAAGTACCGATGTAGATGATTCCATTTAAAAGACGTCTTTAATTTTGAGACTCTGTGCTCTCATATAGGAAGTCCATTAAAATATTGTTTATGTCTGAATATTAAAAAAAATGATCCCTCAAGAGAAAAAGGGAGTTTCCCTTTACTTGAAATTTTGCAGGGTTTCCCATTTTGTAGAGTGCCCTGTCAGTTACTTTATTTCAAACAACAAGCATGTTTTTGAGAAAACACTGTTGGAAGAGAGTCCTTACATTATACAAAAGTAGCTGAATATTCCAACAGTATAAGGCCCTGACTGCCCTATACCTCGGCCATTTCTCAGGGTTCTATTTACAGTGAGAAAGCTGGAGGGATGACGTAGTATCTCCTGCCAAGGACAAAGAGCAGGCCTGCTGAGAGCTTATTATGAAACGCGTGGATTCCTAAGTTCATTGTAACACTGCTCTCAGGAGGTACCGTCCGTGTCATCCCCGTGGAACTTGGTATGGAAGGCGGGCTGCTGCAAACACAGCAAGGCTTCCTGCTGGCTTTTCTCTGACCCGGGAGTCTTGTGTCTTCTGCCAACATCCATGAAACGGGTACAGGTTAACTTATTTTCTTGCAATAAAATCTCAGACCCAAGAGATACATTAGCCTGAAACAAACATGGCAGGTGAAAGTTTAGGAAATTATAAAATTTAAATGTGTATTGGTATCTCTTTGCTTTAATTTGCATTTTCTTGATGATATATGAGGATACTAAGCATCTTTTCATATGCATATTTGCTCTCTCTATATTTCTTTGAGTAGGTATCTAATAAAGTCTTCAGCTGTTTTTAAAAATCAGGTTGTTTGTTTTCTTTGTTTGTTTGTTTTCTTATTGTTGAATTTTAAGAGTTCTTTATATATTTTTTAACAGTTCTTTATCAGATATGTGTTTTGCAAATGTCCTCTCCCAGTCCTTGGTTTGTCTTCTCATTCTCTTGACATTATCTTTCACAGAGCAGAACTTTTTATTTTTTAATTTTAATGAAGTCTTGCTTATCAGTTATTAATTTCATGGGTCAAACCTTTGGTGTTATATCTAAAAAGTCATCTCCATGTCCAAGGCCATCTGGATGTGCTCCTATGTTATCTTGTAGGAGTTTTATACGTTTGCATTTTATATTTAGGTCTGTGATCCATTGTGAGTTATTTTTTGTGAAAAGTGTATGATCTGAGTGTAAATTCATTTTTTTGTATGTGAATGTCCAGTCAACCAGTTGTTGAAAAGACTGTGTAAGCTCCATTGTAAAAGATCACTTGACTCTCTTTATCTGAGTCCGTTTCTGGGTTCTCTGTTCTCTTCCACTGATCTGTTTGTCTCTTTTTTTCGTCAGCACCACACTCCCTTGATTAAGGCCACTTTACATTAAGCCTTGAATTTTGGTAGTGTCACTACTCTAACCTTGTTCTTCCTCAGTATTGTGTTGGCTATTCTAAATTTTTTCCCTCTCTGTATAAGCTTTAGAATCCATTTGTTGATATTCACAAAGTAACTTGCTGGAAGTTACTTGGATTGTGTTTATTTTTATAGACAAGTTGGGAAGAACTGACATGTTGACAACATTAAGTCTTTCTATCCATGAACATTAGTAATTTTTACTAGAAGGTAGAGAGAGAGACTAAAAGACTGGTTAGTTAATAGCTGTAACAAAAGAGCTGACTATGTAGAAAGTTGAAACTATGGACTGATGCGAAGTTTTAGTGATCATCTCTTGATTTTACTTTTCTGTTTTCTATTCCCTAATCTCTATGGATGACTAAGATGTGTTTATAGTATTACCTTAAGGAGAGTATTACCTTAAACAGCTAAAAGATTGTGTTTTAAAATCTTTGAAAACTTTATTTAAACTGACAAAATATAGGTTCTGAAATTTCCTGAGCTTCTCCAAAGAGATTTATAACCAAGCACAGTGAAGTTTCCCAGGGGGCTCAGTGGTCAAGAACCTGCCTGCAGTGTGGGAGAAGCAGCAGACACAGCTTCGATCCTTGGGTTGGGGAGAGCCGAGTAGGAAGTGGCGACCTGCTGCAACATTCTTACCTGGAAAATTACCGGGCAGAGGAGCCTGGCAGGCTCCAGTCATTGAAGTCTCAAAAGAATGAGACACAGCGGAGAGACTGAGCACACACTCATGCAAGCAAGTCTAATATGCAAATAGAATTTGATCTCTAACGTATAATATTTCAACCATTTGTTAGTGTGGTTTTTTTTTCTAGTTTTGGTTTTACTTTTATTACTTTTTAAAAACTTCTTTGTATTACTTTTTCTCTCTCAGCCATTTGTAATTCATGTAACTGTTTGATTTATATATATTTAATTGTCTCTTGTTATGATTGCCTACTCTTACATTATGTAGTTTTAGAAAATAAAGAATAGTTCTGCTGTTCTATGTTGCACCTGTCACTATATTTATAGTAAAGGCATTTAGGTACTTTCAGTCCTTTAGTCCCAGGTAAAACTCTTTAAAGTTTTTAACAATACAGTTGTATTATGAAAATTAAGGCTTTCTAGTTTTCTAGTCCAGATTGCCAAAATCTGTTTACAAATTTAATGTTATACGTACAGTGTCGTATGTAATAATAACATACTTTATTTTTTATAGTTTTTACCCACCTGTTGATGAACCAGCTATTGAAAGTAAAAATATTGATCTATCAGGACGCCAGGAAAGAAAACAAATCTTCAAAGGGAAAACATTTGTCTTTCTAAATGCCAAGCAGGTAGTGTTATAAGCTAAATTTTCCTGAAGAAAATGTTATAAACTAGGATAAATTATTATCAGTTATCAGTTTTTATACATTTCCTTTTGAGATCTTGTGTTGATGTCTGAAGGGAAATAGAAAACAGCCCAGGTACCAGGACTTGCCCAGTGTTCATGTATATGACTGTGACATTTCTTAATATATATTAATTGGCTTATTAATTAAGTTTATATAAATATATACAAGGAAGAGACAAAAAATTTTATTTAACTTTAATTTGTTCAGTTAGTAAGCAGCTGTTGAATATCTTCTATGTGATGAACTGAGAGTTCCAAAAGTTTATGTTATAGGTGGAAAAATGTAAGTAAGCTCACAGTTCCAGAACTGTGTAATGAGGGACTGTAGTGGTACCTGGTGAACTAGGGGTTTTCTCCTAAAGGAAGCTCAGATTGTCCTGTCAAGAAATAGAATCATTTAATTTTAAACATGTATACAAGAAATTAATTATGGCTGTTCATTACTTTTTTCCTTTTTTCCCCATTTTTAGCATAAAAAATTAAGTGCAGCAGTTATATTTGGAGGAGGAGATGCTAGGTTGATAACAGAAGAAAATAAAGAAGATGATAGTTTCTTTTCAGCTCCTGGAACTTGTGTTGTTGATGCAGGACTAACAGATTCACAGACTTTAATTCCTGACTCTCAGAAAAAATGGATTCATTCAATTATGGATATACTCCAAAGGTACAGAATTATTCTTTATTAGTTTTTTTTTTAAAGGGAAAGTAGGTTATTCTATATGTAAATTTTTTATACTCCACATAGTAATGTAAAGGCATATACAATCTCAAAAATGACAGAATGATCTTGGTTTGTTTTAAAGCAAACCATTCAGTATCCCAGTAATCCAAGTAATCCTCAACCACTAATGCTGAAGAAGCTGAAGTTGAATAGTTCTACAAGACATTCTAGAATTAACACCCAAAAAAGAAAACTTTTTCATCATAGAGGACTGGAATGCAAAGTAGGAAGTCACGAGATACCTGGAGTAACAGGCAAGGCTGGCCTCGGAGTACAAAATGAAGCAGAGCAAAGACTAACAGAGTTTTTGCCAAGAGAATGCACTGGTATAGTAAACACCCTCTTTCAACAACACAAGAGGACATCACTGGATGGTCAGTACTGAAAGATGGAGAAGCTTTATACAGTCAGCAAAAGCAAGACCAGGAGCTGACTATGGCTCATATCATGAACTCCTTATTGCCAAATTCAGACTTAAATTGAAGAAAGTAGGGTAAACCACTAGACCTTTCAGGTATGACCTAGATCAAACCCCTTACGATTGTACTGTAGAAGTGACAGATTCGAGGAATTAGATCTGATGGACCGAGTGTCTGAATAACTACGGACTGAGGTTTGTGACATTGTACAGGAGGTGGTGATCAAAACCATCCCTAAGAAAAAGAAACCCAAAAGGCAAAATTGTTGTCTGAGGAAACCTTACAAACAGCTGAGAAGAAGAGAAGTGAAAGGCAAAGGAGAAAAGGAACGATATATCCATCTGAATGCAGAGTTCCAAAGAATAACAAGGAGAGATAAGAAAGCCTTCTTAGGTGAACAAGGCAAAGAAATAGAGGAAAACATTAGAATGGGAAAGACTAGAGATCTCTTCAAGAAAATTAGAGATACCAAGGGAACATTTCATGCAAAGATGGGAACAATAAAGGATAGAAGTGATACCGACCTAACAGAAGCAGAAGATATTAAGAAGAGGTGGCAAGAATATACAGAAGAACTATACAAAAAAAATCTTCATGACCCAGATAACCACGATGGTGTGATCACTCACCTTGAGCCAGACATCCTGGAATGTGAAGTCAAGTGGGCCTTAGGAAGAATTCCTACCAACAAAGCTAGTGGAGGTGATGGAATTCCAGCTGACATATTTCAAATCCTGAAAGATGATGCTGTTAACAGTGCTGCACCCAATTTGCCAGCAAATTTGGAAAACTCAGCAGTGGCCACAGGACTGGAAAAGGTCAATTTTAATTTCAGTCCCTAAGAAAGGCAATGCCAAAGAATGTTCAAACTACCACACATTTGCACTCATCACATGATAGCAAGGTAATGCTCAAAATTCTCCAAGCTAGGCTTCAACAGTACATGAACAGAGAACTTCCATATGTACAAACTGGATTTAGAAAAGGCAGAGGTAACAGATCAAATTGCCAACATTCATTGGATCATAGAAAAAGCCAGGCAATTCCAGAAAGACATCCACTTCCAGCATTCTGGCCTGGAAAATTCCACGGACTGTATAATCCATGGAGTTGCAAAGAGGCGGACACAACTGAGCAACTTTCACTTTCAGTTTTCATAGGAAAGCAGGAAAAAAAAAGGTATCAAATATACTAGAATAGTGTTTGTAATGGGGGGAGGACCATTTGAAAGCACTAAAGCAAGAATTTTTTCCCTGGATTCTTTATTGGTATTAATAATCTTTGCATTTTTGAAGCACAAAGTTAAAAATCAGCCTTGGCAGCCTGTTGACTAAATTCTTATTCACCAATTAAAAGTTATTAGGGCTTATGATATTTGTATGTCTAAAATGTCCATAAATAAACAAGCTGCCTCCAGTATTCATTGTTCCTATCCCAGGAGTTCTGACTATGAAGGACTTTTTTAAACAATTTGCTGAAGTAAAAAGTGAAACTTCAGTCTGTTTCCCATAAATGTTTTGCTTAATGGAGATGCAGTACCTGCTGCGGAGAAGGAGACACCTGTGTAACGAAAGCCCCGTCGCACTACTACAGCCGAAGTGTCTAGTTGCGCTTTGGGCACTGGGGATATAGTGGTGAACAAGGTAGCCATGGTGCTCTAGGGGAAAAGACAGAGACAACAGATAACTGCAAATGTGTATAAGGAAGCAGAGTGACAGGGCAGGGGGGAGAAGTTCATTCTAAATAGAGAAAGCTTCTTTCAGGCAGTATTTTACCTATGACCAGTTTTTAAAAGACATGCCGGACAATAGCAATAATACCTTGCTTACTGTAAGCTGGTCCTGTTCTAGGCATTTTACATATATTGAGACATATTTCACATATTTAAGCCACACAGAATCCTGTGTATTTTTTTGTCATGATTCTCATTGTACAGAAAGGGCAACAGGGGATTTGAGCAGAACATGGGGACTGATAAGGGGAGCCAGCATGTTAACGCACAGAGTCTGGTTCGAGAGCCCATTCCATCTTGCTGCCTTTCATGTATAGGGGCCCTGAGTAAGAACGGAGCCAGGGTGCAAGGTTGCTCAGAGGCTGGTGACCCAATCATCAGGTGACATTTTGTTCTGTAGTCTTCGGCCCCTGTTTCAGTTTGGTTTTGGAGAGAGGATGATTTTACAGTTTGAGAAAGACTATCACTTAAAATAACACCTGTCCAGTTAGTCTAAACCATTGATTATCATGGAAAGTGCAGTTATATCAAACCAGTAACATTAGCTATTGACTGAATTTCATGTAATACGCCAACATTGGGATTGGTTAGCGCCATGGTTCTGTTGATTAGTTGTCAGAAGTGAGTATAGGATATAAGTTAAATATCTCTGAAAAAGATTAGAAGTCTAGGGGAACAATATAGCCATGATGTTTGTCCTTGCTGAGATATATTCCCAGTATCTTAGCCCAAATTTAGGAACTCTTCTTGTTGCTGATTTTTTTTCTCTTTATCCTCTCTTCCTTTGCCTTCTTTTCTCACCTGTTCCATGGCTTTGCATAAAATTGAATGAATTACAATCTTCGGATTATATGATACACAGTCATCATTAAACTAAAATGATATATATTCATTTTGTTCACTAATTAGTTATTTTAAATAAATTTCTATTATTGTAAACTGTTGAGACCATCTTTGTATGTTTCCTGCTGGTACATGTGCAGCATTTTCTTTGGGATACTGCATTACTACATTACTAGGGTTAGAACATTCAGCAGTATCAAAGTGTTTTCCACTTTATACTTCCACCCATGGTATATAAGAGATCAAGTTAGATGCACACAATTTTCAAGACTTGGTATTTTCAGACTATCATTTTTGCCAGTTTCAGTTCAGTTCAGTCATTCAGTCGTGTCCAACTCTTTGCGACCCCATGAACCCCAGTACACCAGGCCTCCCTGTCCGTCACCAGCTCCCAGAGTCCACCCAAACCCATGTCCATCAAGTTGATGATGCCATCCAACCATCTCATCCTCTGTCATCCCCTTCTCCTCCTGCCCTCAGTCTTTCCCAGCATCAGTCTTTTCAAATGAGTCAGCTCTTTGCATCAGGTATCCAAAGTATTGGAGTTTTAGCTTCAGCATCAGTCCTTCCAATGAACACCCAGGACTGATCTCCTTTAGGATGGACTGGTTGGATCTTGCAGTCCAAGGGACTCTCAAGAGTCTTCTCCAACACCACAGTTCTAAAGCATCAATTCTTCTGCACTCAGCTTTCTTCACAGTCTGAATCTCACATCCATACATGACCACTGGAAAAGCCATAGCCTTGACTAGATGGACCTTTGTTGGCAAAGTAATGTCTCTGCTTTTTAATATGCTGTCTAGGTTGGTCATAACTTTCCTTCCAAGGAGTGAGCGTCTTTTAATTTCATGGCTGCAGTCATCATCTGCAGTGATTTTGGAGCCCAGAAAAATAAAGTCAGCCACTGTTTCCACTGTTTCCCCATCTATTTGCCATGAAGTGATGGGACTGGATGCCATGATCTTAGTTTTCTGAATGTTGAGCTTTAAGCCAACTTTTTCACTCTCCTCTTTCACTTTCATCAAGAGGCTCTTTAGTTCTTCTTCACTTTCTGCATATGTCAGAAAGTGGGTGGTGTCATCTGCATATCTCAGGTTATTGATATTTCTCCCAGCAATCTTGATTCCAGCTTGTGCTTCTTCCAGCCCAGAGATTCCCATGATGTACTCTGCATATAAGTTAAATGAACAGGGTGATAGTATACAGCCTTGACGTACTCCTTTTCCTGTTTGGAACCAGTCTGTTCCATGTCCAGTTCTAACTGTTGCTTCCTGACCTACATACAGGTTTCTCAAGAGGCAGGTCAGGTGGTCTGGTATTCCCATCTCTTTCAGAATTTTCACGGTTTGCCAGTTTGATGGATATTTAATCATATCTTGTGATTTTTATTTATATTTCTCTGATCATAAGTGATGACTAACATTTCTTCAAATGTTTATTGGACATTTAGTTTTCCTCCTTTGTGAAATACCTGTCTCTCGCCCAGTTTTCTTTTGGGATCATTGTATTCATTTTATTAAGGTACAGATTTCCCCAGTTTTATATGTTCTGCTGTGTGTGTGGTGTCATATATATTAATAGTTCTCTGTAATTTTATTACATGTGTATGTTCATGTACTCGCCATAGCTAAGATACAGGACAGTTCCATCACCACAAGAATCCCTCATGTTGTTCTTTTATAACCACACATCCCTCCCCACTTCCCACTCCTTGTCCCTAAACTTTGGCAACCAATAAATTTGTTCTCCATTTCTAAAATTTTGTTGTTAAAAAAAATAATATATAAATGAAATCATAGCAGCATATACCCTTTTAGAATTTTTTTCTTCACTCACCATGATTCCTCAGAGATTGATCTAGGTTTTGTATATCTATCATTTTTTATTGCCGAGTAGTGTTTCATGGTATTGATAACCATATTTGAGTACTTTTAATTACATTTTCCAGT